TGTGGAACTTGTAAAAAAAATAAACCTTGTGGCGAATGAAATGATCCGAAAAACTTTGCTGTTCTCCTCTCGAATTGCATTAATTATCCGACCGATAATCGATTTTTGAATGATTGAAGACGCCAGATGCCAAATTATTAGCAAATACAAATTTAACACATAGCAAAGTCATGGTCCATAATCTAACCAAAATTGTGTACATGTATCTATCCATTGAGCATTTTACGATATCGTGGTCCTGAGTGAACATTATTATTCACAAAATGTTCTCATGGTATGTATTTCATAATAAGGAATGGGACTATGCCGAGCCGAACTGGACTCTGGGCTAGTCCATCCATCCATTATTCGCTTCATGGCGATGCTAGTTTTTTGATGGTCAATATTCAATAGTCGTTCGTGTGCAATTTACATTTTTATTGTGTTCGTCTCGTATTTGCATATCGTGTGGTGAGTTAGTTTTTGGCATTCCACGCTGCTATACATGCATACGTAATATGTATATGTTGATGGGTGATTAAATTTATATTGAGATGATGATGAAGAAGATTCGTTATTTTTTATCTCTCTCTCTCAAGTTTGCATTCCTCACTCGGCGAATATGTATGCCTACCTACAAAAATAAATTCCTCCTGTCAAAAACAACAACAAACACAAAGGACCTCCAAAATTCCTTTAAATTCAACAATTTCGTCTAAATCTTTTCTGAGCTATAAAAAAATGTGACAGTTGCTCGAAGCTTATCAAACTCCAGCAGAAGAAGAGATAATGATATGATGAGCAAAATCTTTAAAAATCCGGATTTTCTCTGTGGTCCGACCACGACAACGTATGACGAGGAATGCGCCTCATTCACGTTCTCCTCTTCGACAAAAACGCTGGTGGGGAATTTTAGCTAGATTTTAGTCCTCTCCGCTAGTAGTTGGTTAAATAGTTGACCACGTATGAAATATGCTATTCTGCATGATGTTACTAGCAGACGCTTGTGTTGTTGTTACGAAAACACGACACCTGATTTGCTCGTATAGATCGTTGCATTGTTAGATTGCAAGTGAGTGGTCTGAAAAATGCGAAGAATCCTGTCTGGTCAGAATGACTAGAGATTTAGAATGAAATACCAGCGTAATAATAATAAGCGACGAAAGAAGCCAGCCCAACCCATCATTTCCATTGTGCCAAGAAGGAGAAACAATTTATTTCATACGTACACGTAAGTAATAATCAATATGTAATCCATCCATAATGATAGCGCTCCTACTGCTCTGCTGCTTATTATTAATTTCAAAATGGAGGACAAGACAAGGATGCGATATAATAGTGACGGGATGACGATGAGTGTCATCAAATAACTCCTCTGCTTATTCCCCAACAAGATTGTTGCACCTCGTCGTTGCGAAGCTAATCCTCAATTCGTGACATTCTTTGTTTCAGTTTTTTGAAAGACATTTTGCATTTTGTCTAGACGTCGGATTAATCAACTCGCATTACAATCAAACCAGAGATTAGTATTGAATAAGAAATTGTTACCCTTAAATATGCATGCAACATGTCTACGTGGACCTCAGAATGCCAAAATGTCACCAAAGTCATACGACTCCACATAAATAAGTGCATATTTAGCACTTTCGTTATGAGAATTACTCGGAATAATAGTCATTTTGTCTTTTATGATTTAGAGATAGGTGCACGCATTGTATTTTTAAATACTTACCTAACCCACATATTTACCACATACTTTGAAATATTTATTTCAACCACAAAAAAATGTTTGGGTCGTTTCTTTCAATCCACATAATTTAGAACCTGCTGGTGAGCAAGTGCCATTAAAAACTACGACTTTGATTCCGGAATTAATTCTCCTCGACCATTTTTATCTCCACTGCGTACAATCCATGGAGGAAGAAGACGACCCCAAAATAAATAGCAGTTTGGTTGGTGCAATACTGGATGAGACACCCATCTCAGTTGTTGGGCATTGTTGGAGTTGTTCCGAGCTGTTTTAGGTCTTTTCTTTTATTTCAAGTTAAAAAAAGACGACATGGGGAATCATAAATAGGGAAAAAAGAGACGAGGAATTCCACAGGATTTTCAATTCCACCCATAAAAGAGAGGATCGTTTTTTGGTGGAGGAGATGAGTTTGTGGTGTAGTCAGTATTACGAGTGAGAGGGATCCCTTGTCTTTTTATATCAACGATCAAACACAACAATTGGACGAGGACGGCACTATATCACTCGCTGGAGGAGACAACACACTGCCACGGTGCAAGATTTAAGACAATACGAAACCTGAAAATGCTGTAAAATAAAATAATTATTGTCTTCTTGAAAAAAAACTTCCTTCTTCCATCCATGCATTTCTAGGTACGTATGTTCCTTAGTTCGTCTTACCGTGTAGCACTGCACGTTATCGTCGTCTTTTATTGTTCATGTAAAGTCACTGGATCGGAGAAATAGACGACCCCAGACACTGGAATGACTTTTTATGATGGTGGTGGTGTGTGTGCGTGAGATAATTTACGTGATGGTTTAAACCCGGATTTTACGAAGAGTATGTACATACTAAGGAAATATAATTTTCAAATTTTGCAAAAATGAGGAGAACATATTATTATCTATGTGTGCACTACGTAAGATGTTATTGCAGCTTGGGAAAAATGTACCTGAAGTAAAAAGTCAAATTTTTTCCCCGGATTCCTTTAAAGGTCGATTCCGTCGAAGGGATGAACTTGCCTTTGATTGCTTGGTACCTGTTGAAGCAGAACAAAACAACGACAGAAGGGAGGAATTCGACGGAAGATGAGGACTCAGAATGAGATCAAGTGCTGTGGTGGGGATCCCTTCTTCTCTTCTGCAACAACAGCAGCACACCTGTCAGCAGGGCCCTTCCATCAACCATCAAACCAAAGATACAACAAAATTGGCCCAAGATTAGAAATTCCTTTTAAAACCATCATCATCATCATCACCAAACCACGCCACATTGCCACCAAACATACTCGCAGTCAGTACCACTGACTCACAATGCGATGGTGTGAAGTGTAACCCTCCGAATTGGCTGAAATCTTGAAATTACGTGGTCCAAGTTACTACAACAAACGTTTCTTGAGGCAGTTTGTGCGATGGTTGGAATTTGCCAAGCTATTTGAGGTCAAAGTTGAAAAAATGGGCGATTTTTACCAAGCGCAGGGAGCAAACCCGACTCCCATTCCTTCAAAAGGGAAAAATTGCCTATTTTTCAACTTTGACCTCAAATATTTTGCCAAATTCTGACCATTGCAACAACTGCCTCAAGAAACGTTTGTTGTAGTGACTTGGACCACGTAATTTCAAAATTTCAGCCAATTCGGAGGGTTACACTTCACACCATCGCATTGTCAGTAGATATAAATTTATATGTACATTGGACAAGAAAATTGTTCCACTTGGAAAGATGGGGACATTCACCATAATGAAAACGTGGCTAATGTTAAATTTTCTAATTTTGTATACTTATGTTGTAGTACCCCATGAGCTAATTTATCATAAGCCCCGACCCCAGATACTACCCAGCTCGGCCGTAAGCAGGATATCAGTGCCAATGTATTTATCCTGTCTTTAGTTTTTAATTAGCACGCATTTTACCAATCCTTGGTGAATATTCTTTACCTTTATCTTTTTCTAAAATGATCTCAATGACGTGTATATATTTTCAGACCAATTTAAAACTTTGTGAAAAATTTCACCCACTGTCGTTTTCGGGTCGAAAGACCATAAGGTCAAGTGTCATATCGGGGTAAAACTATCCTTGGAAAGGCCACTGCGAGTAAATATGTAGTTTCAGAATGCATATACTTTGTGGGGTGTAGAACCACTCCCTGGTCTTCCTGAACTGGGGACAAGTTCTTAAAACATTTTTCATTCAAGATTATCGGTTGGGTTATGTTGATGGCTAAATAGTTCGCTCGTTGCAGTGATTGAATGACCATCATCATCATCCATCAGGGATCCTTTTTTGTAGGAGCATCTGGCATGCAGGCATGTATGTATACGTACTTATGTACATAGTCCTTGGCTGCTGAGGTTGTGGGATCTTCTACTATTCACTCCAGTCAGTAGTCCTTTCCATTTTCGTACCAATTTCAGAGGACTAAAAGGCATTCTCCTGAAATATGTTGGCTCATGGGAACCTTAACCTGTGAAAAGTGGGCAGCCTAGCAGAGTAAGAGTAATAAGAATCCCGCTTTTGAAGTGAAAAGAGCCCTTTTATCCCGTCCCCTTGAAATTCTTTCCGCTATTTACGGACAAACAATGATAATGATAATCCTTCTGCGGCTTGTTGTACGTCAAACCTCACAATATATTTAAGCTGCTACCGGCTTTACGTACAACGCGCATGCATATGTTCATAAGTAAGAGCACCTACATACGTATCTCACATCTACACGAAGAGTAGGCTTGAAGTTGGGATCGATAGTGGCATGAGGACTTTGGAGATTTAGATAAGAAAGTCGGTCGGTAACGAGTCGAGATGTCTACAACCTGACACCAAAGACAATGGGAGATAACGAGAGAGAGAGTGCGATTGTGGGCCCTTGTGACTTTTGTCAAAGATTTATAACAAGTTGGTGACATGGACAATGAACAAGAAGAACCGTCACAAGATCCATTCAATCCAACAAACGAGGCGGCGATGATGTTGACCAATATTATGCAACGACGATAAGATTCTTATCATTTACTAAATCTCCATAAAAATACTTTTCATCCGCCATGCCGGTTTATAGTTGGATGCAAATCTTCTCTTCAGTACGAATACAAGAGACCTCAATTATGCAATAATAGTTGAAAATTCAGAAATGGTACCAATTAATTGATAACGCTACATCAATAAATTTTTGGATAATTCTTTTGTTGCATGCACTGAAAAATTGGGCTGACCACGGAGGCTGAGGGAACAAAGGAAAAGTTGCAAGCAGCCCCGTTTTATCAAAGCAGCGATTTTTGAAGGGGTCGAGACGTAAATAAACAAACCAACCAAGGACGAGAGAAAATATCGCCATCAACACACACAATAGTCAGTCGTGTAGAAATTGGCTGTACTTTTAATTTGTAATTATACTTGTAACACCTTACTGCATATTGTAGTTTAGCAAACAATTAACTCCTAATCTAAACAAAAACAAATTAGTGATAAACAATCCGGTGAAATTTAAGTCAAATAAAGTTTAATATTTGACCTTTAATTCAATTTACCAATTAAGGGAAAACTACGATTGAATTGTTAGAATTTTATATAATACCGATTACGTGAGATACCTGGAAGATCGCCCATAAAAAATCTCTCTGAACCGTTTATTGAGCGTGTTCCGATGACATTTTTTTAAATTGTTGACTGATTATTGAATCGTTCCAAAGCTGATCTTCCAAGTGTCCAACATAGAACACAAAAGAAATTGTTGATTTAATTAATATTTTTGGATGGTGGCCCGATTTGGTCGCAAAACGTTGGGTTATCTGAGCGTTGTTGGATTAGCATATCGGACCTTCTTTACTTTTTCTGCAATGGCTTGGAGAGCACACGGGAATAATAATGAGGAGTTGGTTAGTAATTTGAAAAGTAAGTAGTAAAAGTTGTAACTCTGTACTTGTATTATTTGTCGACAAGTTTAACTGGATTATCGCATTTCCTGGACAGAGTACTCAATAATCAAGAGCAACAGAGTTGAAGAGGCGATGCGAAATGTGGACCGCGGCGACTACTCGAAAAACAACCCTTATAACGATGCCCCCCAAGGAATTGGGTATGGTGTTACGGTTAGACACAAATTCAATACACCGTTTGACTGATTTGACTAAATTAGCTTGAGTTGCTCATTTATACGTATTTTTCATTTCAGATCTCAGCCCCTCATATGGTATTTATGGCAAACGCTTTTTTAGGAATGCTTTTGATTAGTTTTAATGTTTTTTTTCTCTAACCCTACCAGCACGCCCAAGCACTCGAGTATTTGTCAGAACACTTGATCGAAGGAGCAACTTGTTTAGATGTTGGATCTGGTTCTGGATATCTTGCGGCATGTATGGCGCTGATGGTAATAATAATAATTTGATTAATGAAATGACGTGTTAGGATTTTATGACATTAGTATTTACTATAATAGGTTGGAGAAAGTGGCAAAGTCATAGGCATTGAACATATTCCAGAGCTGGTTGCCGTTTCCATTCAGAATGTCAGAAAAAATCATCCTGAACTTTTGGACTCTGGCAAATTGAAACTTATTGGTGGGTGGACTGATCAAAGTAAACTCTGTAAATTTCATGTGCACATGTTATTTTAATTCCGCAGCTGGCGATGGGCGCTTGGGCTTTGCGGACGGGGGTCCATACGACTGTATTCACGTGGGCGCTGCTGCACCCAAAATCCCACCTGCTGTAATATTGACTATTATCATCATTATTGAGCTATTTTACCTGATTGCTAATTTTGTTAATTTTGGATGTAGCTGATTGAGCAGTTGAAACCTGGAGGACGTTTGATCTTGCCAGTCGGCCCTGCTGGTGGTGACCAACAACTAGAACAAGTTGACAAATCTCTGACTGGTGATGTGACAAGGAAACCGTTGTTTGGTGTTATCTATGTTCCGCTCACTGACCGAAGCGAACAGTGGCCCACAAGGTGTGCAACGTTATGACTTTACTTGTCTTGCGTAGTTCTCATTCTGACCATTGCACTATGTTTATTTCGGTTCTACTTTCGATAATCAGTGATAAGTAGTAAAGTCGGTGACAGATAGGAATAATCAATGACTTTAAAGAAATCCGTTCTTATAAAATATTTAGCACTATGTAAACTAAGTAGCCATGTTTAAATACAAAGCACAATTTGAGTAAAGCGTCTTTACATGGAACAGAAGTTCTGAAAATTGGAATTTTGGATTTCAGAGAAACTCCAGAACGAGTGAACCTGAAAAAAGCTCTTGATATTTTTGCTAGAATGAAGCTCCAATAAGAAGTTTCCCTTTCTTCTTGACTCAACGAACAAGGCCTTCTCAAAATGTAATTCATGTGTAATATTTATATTTTAGGGCTCCAGAGTTTTGAAATTTTCCCCCAAACAAGTAACAAGTCCCTCCTCCCACGTGTACATCAGAGTGCAACTCGATCGTGTAAAGTTCCGATCAGAACCCCAAATAACATGAGATATGCCACACATGAGACTATTTAAACCAAAAAAGGACATCTAACCAAAGGATTCAGTTTTAAAACTAAACTAACGATACTGCTGTTGCTATTTATATGATTTATAACTCAAGTCAGTCATGTTTGTCTCGTATAACCGCTCGATCTTAACCTATACATATATAATGATAATACCAAACCCTCTCTCAACTAACGAGAATAAATTTACTGTTGTTTTGTGATAAAACTTGCAGACATATTATTAGTTTTATTCGAATACAGATTTAAACACGTCAAATATCAACATCGTCTGACTATATGTATGAACGGTACTACACCATTTCCTTCATGTCTGCATGCATTTAGTACAAATTATAATTATGGAAGAGTTGATGTCAAACTGGAGCTGTTTGCTCTTAAATTTCTCATCGGATCATCCGCCACGTTCTCTTACAGAGTTTCTCCTCCAAGGTTTACTAGAGGTACATGCCGTCGACCAAGTAATCAGGGTCGAGTCTGTTTTTCCTCAGCCTTCTTGCACCCGCCCCTAAACGTCGCAGTCGACACCCCACTATCACTGCCAGCACGACGCTCATGCCCAGTCCCACAATAAAGAGAAAGACCGCACCTGGACCTGCCTTGTGGGGGGACAACTCGTCCGAATCTGAAATAAGCACAACTTGGCCATCAAATAAAAAATACTTTAAGGATTCCAATAGTACTAACAAAGTAAGAAGAGCTACCTAAGTGAACTGCTGCGGTTGCAGCCTCGTCGTAAGGCTGATTTTTAAGGTTTTTTAAAATTTCGTCTTCCAACTTATTCTCGGCCTCCAACTCAGCACCACCATGAATTTGGGTCGATATTATTTTCACTCCTTCCTTTCTTGACTTGTCTCCATTTGAGTTTGCATTTTGAATCGAAGGCGAACTTGTCACAGCGTTAGATTTTGACTGCGAGTCTAATTTTGGTACCGTTGTGGTGTCTGATTTTGGTTGCAATAATCTCTGTGAATTTGCACTTTCGATTTCCCCTGGTTTCACACCAACGGCACTCAACATGGCGTTGTTGTTACTTGCACTTGGGTTGAAGAGTGGGTTTTGCTGGGATGCTTGGTTGAGGGCGACATTGCTGTTGGGTGGACCGTAGTAGGTCTGCTGCTGCTGCTGTTGCTGTTGCTGCAAGATGGGGGGAACTTGGAAGTTATTTAAGTTCAGGTTGGGTTGTTGTCCGTTAAATTGTGGGAGATTCATGGCTTGGTTTTGGTAACCGGCGTTGTTGTAAGGGTTGTAGGACCCTGGCCCACTAGCACCACCTAAAACCCAATATGACGATTAAGTACCACGCTTCACTGAATATTGTGCTTATCTGCATAAAAGTAAAAGTACCATAGGCAGTATTGGAAAGCGGAGAATTCGGAAGATAGTTTTGCCCCACGTAACCAGAGTTCTGCAACTGATCCCCATTTGGATAGTCGTACCCTTGCTTCATAAATGGACTGTGCAAAAACAGCATTACCAACATTTTTCACATATTTCACACCTATGTCAAATTATTGGATTTGTATATGAATACTTTAAATGCTTTTGCTGCTGCTGCAACTGGCCCCCGTAATTTTGATCCATGACACCTCCGCCCTTGTGGTTGAAGATGTGGTCGCTGTTTCCCTTCCCCAAAGGGCTCCCACTGCCACTGCTACTTTGTCCCATTCTCTGTCCCGGGTTGACTTCGTTGCCAGTGGTTTTGTGCCCTGCGGGGTTGTTGCCTCCGGAAGCGGGATCGGATTGTGAGTTTGAGGGATGTACATGTGTCGAGGGAGGTGCTTGTCCAATCACTGCAAAAGTGTAGCATTTTTCCTCCATTTAATAAGAGAACAATTGGTATTTTTGTATGCATTTTAAACCATACATCAAAACACTAAGCGACTTTCTAACGTTTTGACAATTTGAACTAATTTGAAGATCCGGTTTAGTAACAAAATCTCATGATAATATCTAAAGTGACAAATAATTACGTGACGCAAGATTATTTATGGAAGCGAAAGATGCTCAGCTTTGCGGAAAAGTCAAGCCAAGGCTTATTGACCAAGAATATCACGACGCTATTCACCATAAATCAGCACAATTTGTAAAGCCCAACAAGAATCCAAATCACTGCTGCTGTTGCTGAGCTGTAGATGAATAAGATGGAGATCAAGTTGCAACGCGTTTCCTACTGTACTCGCATCCTTATTGTTGCCTCATAGAGCGTACTTATTTGTTACATGAACCCCACGGGTTCTCCTGCTACACATCTCTAATTGATATTGGACGGCTGCTACTTTTTACACAGCCGCTGAGGACAATGTCTTTGTTCTTGATGGCGTCGTTGGCGGAGTGGCGTACGTACGTGTGATGTTGCGTTCAATTGACACGCTCTGAAAAGTTCTTTGGATCAAACAAATAATCGAATCAGGGATGCATTTGCATTTCAGTTGCTCGCTGTTGTGACGGTTGAGAGAGACGAAAGTGCAGAAATAGCAAGACATTTAAATACGACGGCTGAGCTGTGACAATTTGATAAAATCAGAGCAATAATGGTGATTCAGAAAGAGAAATCAAATGAAGGCTTTGCTACCTTTAAGACACTCTCCAAATCAAAATTGCAGAATCATTCATCCAAAATTTGCACCTTTGTTGACGACTTGGTGTTAGTTATCTATTGCTCCCAGTGTTCAGTACCTCTCTCTCTCTCTCGGTCTCTCCTTTGTAGGAATACGAGGAGGAGGGAATGCTTTCATTTCCAAATCCAACAACAAAGCCCAATTTCGAATACATATATTTTTCATGTGACATTCACATTCCAAAACAAAAAAACTGTTCGTATTCTCCTCTCCTCATGTTCAAGTCTTAAGAATCAGCTCATGCAATGCAACAAACAATCTGGATGATGGCGTCATTAATGACGTGATGTGATTGCACATTGACCAGAAACACTTCAAACAACGGTACTAATCATCCTGAATCTTGGAAAGGATAATGACTTGATTTCAAATGTCATTGAGCACACGAATAATGATGGCAGATGAGCTGAATAATTTCTTTATTCGCATAAAAGCACATCATCTCCTTGTGCGACGTCAACAACGTATGAAAGAAACCACGTGTCCATTTGCAGCCATTGTGTTGTAAGGTGGGACACAATATCCGACTGATTGTGCCACAGTTGTTTTGTGATCTTTTATCATCCGTTCAGCATTACTTGTCAACTGTGAATTTCTTGCACATGCTTCACAAGTCTTTTATTGTCGAGTTCTTATGAAAAAGGATGAAACTGTGAAGGAATACAATTTCAGCCGAAAAAAGTCATTATTTGCCCTCGCCATTTTCACCGAATGAAGCAGTATGCACACATATACGTATGAATGCAAATGCATAGAACGGTAGCAACGGGACCTCATCACCATTCTGCACAACGGTCCTTTCTAATTTCTTTCGACCGGACCGTTGCATTTCAAATGTAGGCACATATGCAAAGTGAAGCAACAATTGCATAAGTGCAACCTTCAATTTCAGGGAAGTTGACGACATGCGTAGATAAATACTTGTGAGTATATTATGCCTTTTACATGAGGTTTATGATATCAACCGTGTCACAAATGTGTTGAAAGGACATGAACGACGAGGCGAGAAGGTTGTAGAGTCAGAGAAATGATAAAAAACTTGCCACCAATTATGATTATTATTTGGGGTAGCCAAATAGCTGCAGGTGTACCTGAAGGACAATGAAGTTCTGGGCTCTCGTCAGAACCGTCCTCACAATTGGGGATGCCATCGCAGGCGTTGTAAATTGCGATGCATTCTCCAGAAGACTTGCACTCAAACTGCCATCGACTGCATCTGCGTGAAACTGAAAGAATGCAAAAAATAATGGCTTTATTAAATCATGAAAACTGTATTCTTATTTTTTTAATTAGGCTAATTAAAGCTAAAATTTAGAAATAAGTTGTTTGCAGGGGACTCATAAAATTATCATGATGACGTCATAACGCAGAGTTGACGGACATTGTCTCAATTGTTTAGAGTCAGATTATCCGTTATAATTGACCAATAAGTAATAACACATCATCGTGTGCTACACTTATCACGACTAATGTCGTCATTGTCGTAATATTATTAATATTATTACCGAGTAATTGAATCGAATGGGAAATTTTTCCACAATAACAGCAAGAAAAGCACGTATGTATGTATGTGCGTATGTAGTTAGTGGATTAATAGAGCTACATGGTTCATCATCATTTTGTTCTACATTTACCCGAGATATATAAATGGCTTCCGAAATAACTGTTCTCAACAAAACGAGCTTGAAAATGACACGACATGTAATTAACACAGTAAAACAAAATGAGATCGCGATCACGTTAAAACAATTAGTGTTAGTTCACTGTTTTACTCGACAGTTAATAACGATTGTTTTTACAATGACAATGACTCACATGCACATGTCCTTAGTAGTTGCATACACATAATCGCGTACAAGTCGTAAATAAATAAGCAACGTCACCAGCTACATATGTACTTTTAGCTCTATAACCTCTAATACACGATCAAGCCTTTTCTGAACAATGAGCAAATATATTTACACTGTTGTTCGTCAATCAACCGAAAACTGCTGCATGTCTTAAACAAGACCATGACCAAATGAACCTCATTTTAGAAGAATTATAGGTCAACCACACCGCCATCGAGTCAAATTCTTTCAGTCTCTTGAATTTGAAGGTCATGTCAAATTAACGAATAATTAATTGGTACGATCAATAAATCAGCTCTCTAATGTGCAAGGCATTCATTAAATAAAATGAAATGCATAAAGTAGAAATAGTAGTTTTAATTGCTGCATGCTTGTCAACCCCCTCTGCTTCTGCTTCGCGGTATGTTTATGGCTGGCACACAAATTACCTGCACAACATACATACTTACCTGTCGAGAGTCTCATCATTTAAATATTAATTGTGTTTCACTACCATTATTAGTCAAGTAGCATGTCATGTCAGGCAGTATTTATTGCGGGGGCTGCTTTCTTATTCCGGGGTGACTATACGATGGCCAAAGATATGCAATCTCAGTCAGTTATTGACTCACTATGCAAACTTTCGTTGTCTTTTTTAATCTGAATTGTAATTGGTATTTGCAAGTATTGCCTTGTTTGTGATCAATCTACTGATAACACCACCCAAATCAGATTGACGATCGATATTTAGTTGCTAAATTATTAGAATTATTCAAGTGGCGTCGGCGAAAGACGAAAGGAACAACGCATCATCATCGCATGTCGTATACAGAATAGCCAAGTATTGCTTGGTCTTGTAGAGAGACAAAGGTCACAGGTGCACTTCGTCGACTAACCTAACCTATAAATGGACTTAATGTTCGAAATTTTAGCAATTTCACCCACCTATAAAAAATTAATCAAGTTTAGATTACAACATAAATCAATAACGTATCATAATAATGAGGAAATCAGTATCCCATGTGAAAGACGTAGAGCTCACATTCAGCCAAAAAATGAGAGAGGTGGACGAGGTTAATTCACTTTTGAAAACTCATTAAGGTCTCATCCGACGCGATGTCGGTCGGTCGGTTGCAGAGATTGGTATGAGTTACTCCCACTGACAGAGTGGATAAGTGATTAATCGGATACAGAAAGTCATTAAAGTTCCGATGTAAAGTCAATGCAATAAGCTGACCTAAGAGTAGTGCATATGTACACTCATCATGATTACGATACTGAATAGCTGTGTGGCTGATTACACATGATTTGAACTAAAATCGCAATTATCTAGAATGACTCAAATTGAAATGTGAAAGTTTGATTGACATATCCGGAAAGGTGAGATTTGCGAGTAATATTTCTAGAATTTTAAAAACTTTTGCATAAAACTGACTTTGACGAGAACGACAACTATATGGATTAAGTTACGCATGCATACATACAGTTTTATTGTTCGGGTTGTAATAAATAAATGCAATTACGTGAACAAATGACAACCCTTTTCAACACATTTATTACATGACGCATGTACCTTTCTCAGGTAATTTATAATCTTTAACAGAATCGCAGCAATGTCATCATTAGCGTCGTCACCGTCAACTGTCAACCTACTCGAGTCAAAGTCGCCGACAGTAAAACTACTGCAGTAGCCGTCGTCGTCGTCGCTTCAAATAAACGGTGGACATTGTACATGCCAATTGAATGCAATTGAATACTGAGACGACAGTACCGTCGTCTCAGAATCCTTGCAATTTTGAAGAGAATGGAACCAAGAGGGAGATGACAAAGACGAAATGCCGAATCTGTTTTGTTATTAATTTTGCACATAACGGGAATCCTGGTTTTGGATGAGTGAGATTGAATACAAAACCTGTCCCGCAAGGAAGAGCGAGAATAATGCAAATCTCGAGGTGCAAGTACTTTTTGTCTTTGAAACTGGTGATCTATTGTCTTATGAATCACGAAATTCCAAGTTTTTATTTAATATGCTCCTTCCATCAGTAGAATTGTAGACTGCGATCCCACACTATTTGTATCCACATATTTACAACCAAACATTACAAAATGCTACGTGTAATTTTGGTATCGATCTTCGACATATTGAGAAATTGGGTCTGCAAACATGTATGCAATGTTTAGGATGCGACCGTGTCTGTGGTCCAGGCAGGAGGGCAAGCTATTGGATGTTTTTGGGTTACCTACTTTTCTTTTTTACTCCTCACGACGATTCATGTCATGTCTTGGTGTACATATGTATTCATTCTTCATGATCAAAGTTGGGCTGCGTTTTTTAAAAGCAAAAAGTTGATGGTGCCTAATAAGTAAATCCTCTCGCTATCATGAGCACACTAGATGATACTAGGAATGGAAAACTCGTCTCCCTCCAAGACAACTTTGGAAGTTGTTTTTTTTTCTTTTACGAAATGATGATAAACGATAAATCATCACTGTCAACATCAACTAAGAAGCACATAATTTTCCTAACGGAGTTGAGCGAGGGAGGCTGCACAACCCAAAACCAAGGATATAAAGTTAATAGAGATAAAATTTTATGTTTCACCACGACCAGCGTCGTCGTTCGTTTACAGGCTTCTCTGCAAATTAAAAACAAAAATTCAAAGTCAAGGCTTAAAAAGTCACAAAAGCAGAAAGCAATTTCCTGTTCAGTCAACAGAGATGTGGCAGTTTCGTTGGTTCGCTACGTTCATTTTTACTCTTCTTTTGTTTGCCCAATTTTATGAGCACTTCATGACTGGGTGAATATCCCGTCAATTGATTGCGCCATTTTCATCCTTTAATCACAATGCAGCACGTTCAAAAGCATATGCACAACTTTGTTCAAAGTTAGTGAGTGAAACATGAAAATATGAAGAAACTGAAATTCTTGTCAGGCAAATTTCTTCAAAAATTGGAAAATATACATATGCAAAACTTTTTTAATTGCATTTCTTAATTCGCACAAAGTCGTCAAAATTAACATTTCATTTCAGAAGAATGAGAGGAAGTGCTATAGACCAAAAGCAGATAAGAATCTGATAATTTCTCAAATCTTAATTATATTAAATGTCCGCTCTTTAATATGACTTATTTCCTGCAAAACCATTTTTATGCATATTTACGTACGTACTTATGCAGCACTTGGTTTTTCAACTCAAGTATGCTTTGCGTTGTTTATAGCCAAATTCAAAGTACTTTTTGGTGCTGCACAAATCTCTGCCAAAATGTACTCAAATAGTGGAATTACTGGGATGCGTTGATGTGTGTGCCATGCAGAACTTGGACGGACAGGTCAATGTTAAAATTAATTTGTTCTGTCAGAATCACAACAAAAAGTCGTTATACGTGATCTGAGTGGGGCCAGTATTCAAAATAATCATCTCTTCTATATCTAAACGGGTACCACCAGACCAGATTAATTAAACATCTCTAATATTAGAACTTATGCACTCCTGTCACCAAACATGCGTAAATATTTAACCAAATCCGTACATAGCATATTCCATGGCTAAATGAGCTACCTCTAATGCGTTGTTTCTGAGTGATTTGATCTAAATTTGTCGCTATATTTACGCACGACAATTTGTAGTATGGGCAATGACTAATTATTTGCAATTAATCAACCTGATCTTGTTTGGGACTCTGCACTCCAACAGAGAGCTCATTCACATATCTGCATAACCTGAATCATAGTAAGTAAACACACATTTGCTAGTAAATCAATGTGCATAATAAGTAAGTGAGTAGCCCCTCTCATGCGTCAAATACCAATATTTATGAGATTGACCATTACACGTAATTTTTAGATCACCACAAAAGTGCCACGCACACAGATTATGCTATGAATAATTGCATAAATACGTCATGTGTAAGCACCACACCCAATTACAGCTCCTCTTCTATGCAACATAAAAAAGAACACTCAATGAGTCGAGAATTTAAAAAAAGAGTGAGCAGAGAACGGTAAGTCATTTCTTTCACCATGTCGAATTGTTTGCAGCAGCAGTGCCTACTGCCTTGTAACCAAATCTGCTTGTCTGCGCTGCGGATGTGCTCATTGAAATATTCGAAACGAGAAGATGAGATTCGTCGACCATCACAAAAGTGTGTGTGTGATAAGGGCAGAATAATGTAATAATAAATGCCTTTGAGAATTTACAGTTGAGCTGGGACTGTGATGTCTCCTAAGCTGAAGTGGTTTTACGTATAGTGAAATGTGTACCTCGATGAAGCCCATTGTGCCGTTGTAGGAAAAGTCACCTGAGTTGTAAGTACATTGTGCGAGGGGTACTATGCTTTGCCCAATAACGTGCATCAAGAGGAGAGTAGTTCAGTTCCCACTCTCTGTGCGCCAACGT